TAATCAATTTCGACGTTTTGGTAATGAAAAGACAAACAGAAGGCAGGAAACTTAGAAAATTAAAAATGGTGGGGAATATTCTAAATTGACTCTTGAGAGTTTAAAAAACACTCTAATTATCATAGTGAAATAATTAAATGATGAATGTTGATTTGATAGAGGACACGTAGCTAAATACAGATAACAAATTAATTAATCAATTCATGTTAGAGTAGAGACTCCCCACACTAGCCACAGATTAAGTGCAACACTACGTGTTTATCCTCCTAAAATTATTGTAACTTTGACAAATTGTATCATATCCCCCCTTATATATTAATTGAGAACGTGTTGAGCCTACGTGACAGGCTCGCATGCTTCGGGATCCTATATGGCAAAATTACATGCTTCGTTATTAGGCTCGGATAGGTTTGGATTATCTATAAATATGTTGATTATTTATGGTAGGGGTGGGCGTGGTCCGGAACGATCTTGGATTTGACTTGTCCGCATACCTATCCCATTTTTATGATGAGATGAGGCACCGTCTCCACCCATGTAATACATGGGTGTTATACTAGTCTAATTTCATTGCAAACCATTGCATGAAATTCCAAAATCCATCGTTGGAATTTGACACGTCCAAAAGACCTTCGGAGGCTCTGACGTGTAATTTTCGTCTCTTTTATTTTCCACGTCGTCCAAAGATGCACGTAATTTTCACAACCTTACTCAAATTTAAAAATTATATCACTCATCTTTCATTTTTCTTTTTCATTTACCTTTTACAAATAATGTGAGATGGTGAATGGTGATATAATTTGCAAATTCGCCTAAGTTTTTCATTTACCGTTTTGCAAAGAATGTTAGATCGTATTAAAATTTACAATATCTGATATTACGTGCAACATCTAGATGACGTGGAAGAAGATTGAGACAATTTTTACTGCAACATTTTTACCTGATTCATAACATGTTGGTAAATGGTAATAACATCATTTTACCCTGCGTACAAGCATTCATTTATCTCATGTTGTTTGTCCTTTTCCACGACGCATTCTCTTTTCCCATTGCAAGCAACGAATAGAGTCGGGTCTCGAATGCTCACCTATTATTATTATTATTATTAGTTATTACATTATCAAGAAAAAGAAGTCTGTTTAAATTTCATTTTGTGATCGAAAACAAATCATGTCCCCACCATATATTGATTGAAATATTACAGATAATCATCCATGGCTCAATTGTCATTTTCCTTGGGCTGTGCAACCATTTACCACCACATGTGAATAACTCCAAAATTGGACACTAAAACAAAACAATTTTGTTGCTTGTTGGAAAGCTCACATGTGGACTGAACATTAGCTATACGAAAGCTTCTTATTATTGTTTGTTATTTAGCTTCATCAATCATTCAAGTTTTTTCTGGCCAACTTTTGGAGTTTGTTTTCGGCTCTGTTTTTCTCATTCAGTTCCCCTTGTCTAGCAATGGTAAGTAATGCTGTTGTGAACTATATATAATATGTTTGTAATTAAATTTTTTATTAAGTTTTAGTTGTGGATGTGTGGGTGTGTAGTTCTCTTGTCTCTCTGTTTTTTGCTTTAACTTCGACGGAAACTAATATATGTGTATTTATGTTACTGAAACTCCAAGGTTTTGGTCGATAACCATGGTGCCAAAAATGAGGGGAAACTGGTCGATTTTCGAGGAAATCCGGTCGACAAATCAAAAACCGGTGGCTGGCTGGCTGCAGGGCTTATCTTAGGTAATTAAGTTTAATTATCAGTATCCTCTGTTTCAACTCAAAATCACTCGCGAATGTCACTTGTATATGATGATGTAACTGTACTGCATGCCATAAAACATTCTAAGACTACATGTTCTTTCATAACCATACATAAGAGTGCACAATTTCTTACGTTTTCGTTGCCTAGGAACCGAGCTTTCGGAAAGGATTTGCGTTATCGGCATATCCATGAACATGGTCACGTATTTGGTCGGTGATTTGCACCTTTCGTCCGCTAAATCGGCAAACATCGTCACAAACTTCATGGGGACTCTCAACCTTCTCGGCCTCCTTGGCGGCTTTGTGGCCGACGCTAAACTAGGCCGTTATTCGACCGTCGCAATTTCTGCCTCCATTGCAGCTTTGGTAAATTTTTTTTTTTACTAAAAATCAAAAAAACTTGTTCGGATTACGCGTGAACCGTTCGAGTTGTTCTAAAATTTGTATAGGGAGTGACTCTTTTAACCCTGGCCACAACAATCCCGGGCATGCGTCCTCCCGCCTGCCACGCCCCGCGCAGAACCATGTGCATCGAGGCCAACGGCCGCCAGCTGGCAATGCTCTACACGGCCCTCTACACGATCGCGGTCGGCGGCGGCGGAATAAAGTCGAACGTGTCGGGATTTGGGTCGGACCAGTTCGACACGTCCGACCCGAAGGAGGAGCGTGCCATGAATTACTTCTTCAACCGCTTCTACTTCTGCATCAGCCTCGGCTCGCTTTTCGCGGTGACCGTGCTCGTGTACATTCAAGATAATGTCGGGAGAGGGTACGGTTACGGAATATCAGCCGGGACAATGATCTTGGCCGTTGGGGTTCTGCTTTGCGGGACGAGCGTGTACCGGTTCAGGAAGCCCGAGGGAAGCCCGTTGACCGTGGTTTGGAGGGTCGTCTGGGCCGCGTGGAGGAGGAGAAGCCTCGTTTTTCCTCCCGAGGACACGATGCTCAACGAGTATTACTCCGCGAAGCTTCCTCACACGGCAAAACTCAGGTAAAATTAATTTAAAACTGCGATGTCGACAATATATACTTACTAGTCTCACTATTCGCATTTTCAGTACTGTAAATGTTGGAAAATGCTAAGGTCCTGTTACGGGATGGTTCCGTCAGTGTTTTTCACCATTGGATACACATATAGTAGATTATGCTGTGTGGATAATCTACAGTAATAAACTCTCAGCATTAAATACAGTCTTCAATTTTCGTCTTCATCGTCTCATCTCAGGTGCCTAGACAAGGCGGCCATACTCGACGAGCACAAGACTGTGTCAGGAGGCGCGTGCACGGTGACTCAAGTGGAGGAGGTGAAAATGGTGGCAATGCTACTCCCTATTTGGTGGACTTGCATCCTCTTCTGGACCGTCTACTCGCAGATGAACACGTTTACAATCGAGCAAGCAACATTCATGGACCGACGACTCGGATCATTTCCGGTCCCGGCCGGCTCATTCTCATTCTTCCTCATCTCCACAATTCTCCTCTTCACCTCTCTCAACGAACGGGCCATCGTCCCACTGGCCCGTCGGGTCACGGGCCGGGCCCAGGGCCTCACCTGCCTCCAACGGGTCGGGATCGGGCTCGCGTTTTCCGTGGCCGGAATGGGGGCGGCGGCCCTCGTGGAGCGGCGGCGGAGGAGCTTTTTGGTGGAGGGGAATGTGAGGATTACGGCGTTTTGGCTTGTGCCGCAGTTTTTCCTTGTGGGGGCGGGTGAGGCGTTTGCGTACGTGGGACAGCTGGAGTTCTTCATAAGGGAGGCGCCGGAGAGGATGAAGTCGATGAGCACGGGACTTTTTCTGAGCACGCTGTCCATGGGGTATTTCGTGAGCAGTTTGCTTGTGTCGTTGGTGGATCGGGTGACGGGCGGGTCGTGGCTGAGGAGCGACTTGAATAAGGGAAGGTTGGAGAATTTTTACTTGCTGCTGGTGGTTTTGGGGGTGGTGAATTTCGGGCTGTTTGTGTGGTTCGCGGTTAGGCATCAGTACAAGGTGCAGAACTACGTGTCGCCGGAAAGAGATGAGGAGGTTAAGGGGATGGAAGTAGCTGCTGTTGCTGCAACAGAAGAGCCTTAGAAGGGGGGATTTTTTATTTTTTTTTTTTGGGTTTAAGTTTTATGTTTTTGCTACACCATTGACAAAGACTTTGTTATTTGGTTAAATTTCTTTTGTTTTGTAAGCTTGAAATTGATATTTGATGAACAACAAATTGAAGCTTGGGCAATGCACAGACTTTGTAGCCTTTGTTACAGAAATTGTTTGGTCAGATAATGAAATTTTGTACAGAAGTGTGCTTTATGTGTAATAGTTGAGTAGAATTGAGAGTTTTTATGTGCAGATGTGTACTTTCAACTTTGGCTAGTGTTAGGCATTAATCAAGAATGGACTCTCTCTCTCTGCACAAAACATTTTTTATTTGTAACAATTTATCACATATGCTGATATATTTGCAGGTACAGATAAACTCATTCTCTACTCATTCATATTAGATTTTATATTATACTAGTAAGATATACTTGTGTACTTAAATATATTAATATCTGTACAATAAAAACTAGTGCGTGGCCCGTGTGATGCACGGGAAAATAATATTACGATTGTATTATAAATTAAATATTTAAATAACATTAATCATATTTTATCCATTGTTTTAAATTAAACCGGGTTGCACACAGTCCGACCGGATGGATCAGGAACCGGTTTATAACCAGTCTAGTTCGCTTGAATAAAATATTTGCTCTGTAATCCGTCAACACCAGTCGGTTGGACTGGTAGGATCAATACGATTTTCTAAATAAATTTTGTTGTATTTAAAATTATTTTAAATAAAATTACATATTTAAATAAAATAGAGATTTATATATTATATATCAATTAGTTTAAACATTTGAATTTATAAATTGTTTAGATATCTAAGTAACAAATTTTATTTAAATTTATTACAAAAGTACTATATATATATATACATATATATATATATATTAAAATGTTTATAAATTAAAATCTGAACAAACCACAAATGATTTAATAAAATAGCTTGATCGTTTCGATGACGGTCCAGTTCTGAAAATCTTATATTTACTGTACATTAATAAAAATTATAATAAAATATTGTTTAATTCACATAAATATTAACAAAATGATATATAAATATTCATAAATCATTAAACATGTTGTCATAAAAGTATTGTTAATACGATTATTTGAAGTTTTGACTACATTACATTCACGTAATAACATATTTTCAATATAAAACTTATATTTAGGTTCAATAATCGATTTGATGTGGTCGAACTGATACATAACTTAGTCACCTGGGACCAACCAAATTGTGTCAAATTTTTTGACTATTTTAATTATCACCGAAAAGTAATTCAATCAACTTGGGCAGTACCCTAATTCAATCACCCGATTGATCCGAAGAAATTTTCTTATTTTCTTTAAATATATTTAATTTTATGAAATAAAAATATTTTATGACATATAATAAATGTCTACACCAAATGATAGTATATTAAGATTATATATTATATATCTAAAGATGAATTAATTATTTTTACTTTATGCATATTAATTAAAAATAAACATAGTAATTTTAAAAAAATTAAGATTAATTAATTGATTATGCAATTTAAATAATATTTTTGCGTTCAACATGTTTTTTTAAAGGCACAAATATAAAAACCGAGATTCTAAAACTTTTGTTATATTTTGAATTGAGATTTTATAAATATAGAGACCGAGATTTTAATGTTGTTCGTTGTTTCTAAGAAAAAAATAAAAATAAAAACATACACATTTAATAAATCTTAACCGGATTTTTTAAACAATAAAATAAACTAAAACCCGAAATTTAAGGTAACATTTAATGTTGTATGATTTTTAAAGAAAAAAAATAAAAAAAGTAATAAAACTTACTATATATAGGCTGCATTAAATTCTGACTTATTTTTTTGCTACTATTTTTAGTAAATGTTAATTCTTATTATATATATATAGATTTGAAATAATTTATATTTTATTGTAAAATTATGTATAATAAATACAACAATAATAAATAACTAACAAAGTGATGATTAATTCAAATGATGCCCTATTTTTAAACTAAAATTGTCAAGAATAATATTTTTTATTTATATTTTTAAAATTATATATATTTAAAACATATATTACTTACAACTCCATAGATTTGATTCGATTTTTTTTTAAACAAAATAAGTTTTATTGTACTGTGATTATATTTTGTATTTATAAAGTCGGTGTTTCTAATTTATTAATTTTCAATAATTCACATAATTAAATAATTTATAATATTAATTTATGCAAACATGTCTTATTTTATAAAATTATTTTATTATTTTTAAATATGATATATAACTATTTGGTTCCCCAGTTAACAAATAAACCAAACTTTTTATTTAAATTGAAGTCGGATAGTACCAAATAAATTCAAACTTCGAAGGAGGGAAACCACACATTTCGAAACCGCTTCCATCTCTCTCTCTTCTTCCTCTCCATCTCTCTTCATTAATCTGCAGCTTGGGAGTTTCATAAGGACAATAAAATGGCTGAAGCACTAAGCCCAACCCACAAGCAGAGGGTTCCGTTCTCCCCCACGAAGAGCCCATTCTTTGTCGGCTCCAATGACGACAAACTGGAACGCGCTCAGGCTCGAGCTGCACGCGCCGCCGCCATCCGACGCAAGCCGGCCGTCGCCGACATCTCCGTGTCTTCCAAGGATGACCCATGTCTCGGAAAAGATCAGATCCTCGAGTTGTTTCAGAACTGCATCAAACTGGCCAGCGAAAATGTCAGGGTTTCATTTTTCGTTTTTTCAGATATTAGGTCTACAGTATTGTACTTACAGGAAAAATCTCTTAATTGGGCTTGCAGAAAATTAATCAGAAGAATACTTGGGAGCTGAATTTGATTGATCATCTCTGCGATATTATTAAGGTTGAAGAAGAAAATGACACCGAGACCAATTTTCAGAAGGTATGCGTCTGTGTGTTTGGGTGTGCTTGTGATAGGTATATATAAAGTTCTTTTAGGCGATAACGCAACAATATTTTGCAATAATTAATTGTTTGGGGAGATCAATTAAGCATTCTGTTACTGGAAATGTTCATAAAAACATTGGAGCATTTTTGGAGTCTGAGCTCAATGTTACTGGAATAGTGAAATTGATATTGTCAATTTCTGAAAATAAGATTATAAAGAAAATGAATTAATAAGAAAAAAAATAAAAACAAACAGAATTCTTTGATGTGGTATTACAGTGTTCTGATTGGTAGAGGTGCTCCTTGTGGCAGATTAATGATTTACGATTATCAGGATCTTGTTAAGAGAGAAGATGAATATACCCCATTGCTTGCACCTCCACTTACAAATGTACATGGTTTTGGTAATGAAGCTTTGATTTTATGCACAAATGAGGGTCGACAATGATAACTGTATTGAGCGGGGTGCTTCTCACTCCTTGAGGCAGGAAAAAGGAATATCTGGCTGTCCGCTCTCACAAAACTTTACTCTTCTCTGAGACTCTCTTCCGCTATTTGCTTAGGGCAGAATTCTCCCAATTTTCTTCTCATTGTTTGCAATTCGATGGTTGTCTTCACTAGTATACTAGTGTACTATGAGAAAATATGGTCCTTAGTCTAAAATTACTGTATGCATGCGTCTGTATTTGAACATTCTCCTTTTCTTCTGAATTCTTAAAGGAATTTGTTGATGCGATGATATGATATAAACTTTTATGTGATTACCCGACTGTAGGCGAGTTGTACCCTTGAATCTGGTGTTAAGATATAAACTTTTATGTGATTACCCGACTGTAGGCGAGTTGTACCCTTGAAGCTGGTGTTAAGATTTACTCCATGAGAGTGGATTCCGTACATTCGGAGGCATATAAAGTGCTTGGAGGAATTAATCGGGTTGGTCAAGAAGATGAACAAGGTTAGGTTTGACATTGCTTCATTGCTGTTATTGTACTACTTTTTCTAAATATGTATGAATTTATTATATTTATCTAGTTGATTTTAGAAACTTTAATAGTGTGAGGGAATGCAGCTGTGCTGATTGCAATGATTGTGGACTCTACCCTGAATTTAGTGTTATGTGGGTCTAAATAAGTGGTTACGACATCATTCATCTTTTGCATGCTGAACTTTGAGCAACTTTCATCACCCATCAGCATGTCTGAGATGTTTGCTTCAAAATGATTTATATTTTAAGCCTATTCTTATCAGCCACTTTCAGTTTGTTGCCTAGTTATTGTTCTTTCCTCTCATTCATATCTCGAGCTTGTAGTGTTGCTTGACACAGTATACTTGACACCTAGCGTGACAAGCTTTGTCAATACTTGTTCTGCTTATTAGTTGTTGAAAATGTCCTTTATGCCAGATCATGTTGATGAAGATGGCAATGTCAGTACAGGACAAGGAGAGACTGATGAAAAGAAAGAGCAAGGGAGGAAGGTTGAGTTTTTGTCCTATATTTTATGTCAAGTACTTGATTAATTATATCTTGTAAAGTTTGAATAATATATATTTTTTTAACTAAGACTAGTGGCGTATTTTTGCAGTTGTCGCCATTGTCCACCCTAGAGTCATCTTTTGCTGCAATCAATGTGAAGAAGTTTGATGGTAAGTTGCATTCAACTGGTTGTAAACTTATAATTGGTATTTTTTTTTACACTCACTATCTTAGTTTATATATATGTGTGTATGTGTACTGTGTATCTCCTTCTATATTTGCTCTGTTCGTCATGCAAATTTATGATTACTGTGCCTGCATTGTGCCTTTCCTTTCAGCTGCCTTTGTTGTGGACCCTCTCTACCACCAGACATCCGCACAGTTTGATGAAGGTGGAGCAAAGGGACTTTTGCTGAACAATCTTGGAGTCTATGGCAACTGCCAGGTCCTCTTTGATTCCTCGGAAGTTCCTGGAATGTGTATGCCTCCTGTATCTCAATCTGAGGGGTCAGAGACAATTGATTTGTCTTTTGCCCGAGGTATGTACCTGTGCAGTCCATTAACTTTATTTATTAGCTAGTTTATTTCTAGTCATAACTCATTAGTGAAAAGAGTCAAAGACTGTTTTTCATGGATGTAATTGTTCTTGATTTTCCTTTTTTCTTTTGAATAGAGTGCATTGAGCAGATGGTGTCTAATATGCTAAACAAGTCTGAAATATCTCCAAGCCTCAGGGCTATAGTTAGTCAACTTGCAGAGGATGATGACCGTAGACAATTTGAGGTGGATTATTCTGGTCAAATCCCTTCAGGACAAGCCAATGAGAGTGCTGAAACTAATGTCGACTTGGGTGGTGAAGCATTCGAAAATTCCGGGACATGGGACTTTGATCATGATGACCAAGCAAGTGTAGTTGATGATGGGAATTTTGTTCAGCATACTAGTTTCCCAGATCAGCAGGGAGTTCTGGATTTGGTAATGTTTCCATTGCTTAAACTTCCTATGTTATCTGTACTTGTTCCTTATGCTGTTCTGAAATGGAAGTATGTACTCTAATGATTTATAATCTCCTGGCTATTTCTGCAATCTGCAGCCTGATGAACAATTGAATGTTAATGACTCTGATGAGTATGATAGAGTTGAGGAAGTTGATAGCTATTTGTTCTTCAGTTTGGGATTTTCAACAAAGCAGAATGCATGGGCGGGTCCCGATCACTGGAAATATCGGAAAGTAAAAGGTTGAGTTATATAGGTTCTGATGAACCAATTTTATTTCCTTTTTTTTTTTGCTCTTCGTTTTTCCCAGACATTGACGACATATTTCTTCTGTAGAGCCCGAAGCTCCGGATGTGGAAAATGGATCGCCAAAGCCTAAGAAAACGAAAAACAAGAAAGCAGATTTGGAAATTGATTTTTCAAATGCTTTGGACAATGATTTATCACATATATTTGCTCCTCCAAAGAATCCAAAGTCCTTGTTGTTGCCAACTAACAAAGCGCCTTGCAACACAAAGCTTCCAGAAGATTGTCACTACCAGCCGGAGGATCTTGTGAAGCTATTTTTGTTGCCTCATGTTTTGGTAAACATGGATAACTATACCTTTTCCTGATTGAATATCAATACCCCATTTCTGACTTTGACCTCTAGCGACCTTTATAATTGTTATGTTCTTCTGTATAATCTTACTGCAGTGCCTTGGAAAGAGTAAAAGGAAGAAAAGTGGTAAGTTTTACTTTCATTCGTAGTAGTGACCCAACTCTTTCATGTTAATTAAAATGTTGTACGTATAGCATTATCTCAGCTACACATGTGAAATTTATTGATCTTTAGTTCATACATAATGGGATGTTGCGTACCTTACATGTTGGACAAATTCTCATCATTTTGACACGATTGTGTTAACATGATCTAGTAACTAGTATGGAGTACGTTTATCAATTTTTTGTTGTATTTTTTGTTCTGTGTCTGCTTTTCGGGGTAATAAGATGCTAATAATTTGTTGTTAGATGAAGAAAGTCATCAAAGAGATGAGTATGGAGCCACTGCATCTTGGGATGATGATAATGGCTTTGGTGGAGATTTTGACGATGGACATGCCGCCAATAGTGACATTGACGAGCCTAGCACACTTGTTTCTCAGCCTCGACAGGTTGGTTGTTTTAATCGACATGATTTACTATGACTAATCCATTAAAGCCTTAATACTTTAATATTTGCTGGTTAAAAGTAGCTTTAGCAATTTACCAAATTATGTTGTTTTGATCAAATTGCATGGACAATGTTCTCTCTGGATTCTGAGATATGACTAGTGACTACAAAAGTAGTTATATCACTACTTCAATACTTCTGCTCTGATATTATGGGTACTCTTTCATTTCTGGGTATTTTATGTTATTCCATGTCCAGCTCACTGAATGTCGTGATATTTTACGAATCTAGTCAGTTTATTCCACCTTAGAATATGCTGCAGCTGATGAGTGTTTTGGGGTTTCTTTTGTGTACCCAGGTAAACAAGATTGAGGTTCAGTATGATAAGACATCGAAACAAGTTGATGTTCACGCACTAAAGGAGACGCTTTGGGACCATATGCAGCAATCAGATCAAAATTCAGCTGAGGTTTTTATTTATTTATTTATTTTATTGTTTTTTTCTGCCTAAATTCATTGGAAATACATATTTCCTTATATTCATGAGCTTCTATGACTATTGATTACTTTTCAGGAAGAGGTACCGAGAGGAACTGTTTCTTTCAAGCAGGTCTTAGCCAGTTTTCCAAATGCCTGCCGAGCAGCGGCATCCATTAACGATATCTCACCACATTTGTGCTTCATATGCTTACTGCATTTAGCCAACGAGCATGGATTGAAAATCCTTGGCTGCCCCAGCATGGATGATCTGAGCATACATCTTAAACCTTAAAAATGGTATAAGGGTATTTGATGTTGCTAATGTGCTGCATCCATGCATAGATTAACTCGCGCTGTTTTGGGTATTTTGATCTAGTTTCAGATGTTATTCCAGAAAATATTGGCAATCACATGCGAAATTGTAAAGCCAAAATTGACCCGAACGTTAAGTGTGTTTTTCTTCTTGTATTGATTGTTTGGCAGGTGCTGTGTAGCCCTTTGGGCACATTGGAATGTAGAGATGGTTATGAATTCCAGTTTATGAATACAGGAGTTAAAACTTAACCTTGATCCATTATGTGGACTGAAGCAATTTAAGTGTATGAATATAGTACCGACGAAGTACGGTCTATCTATTCCCGTCAAACAGGCCCAAGAGTGGGTATGGGGGGCTGTTGGTGTCGAAATTCTTTTTAGGTATTGCCTCAAAATAATCAGACATGATCATAGATTAAGTCCATAGTCTTGTCTCCACTACCTTATGGGGGACGTTTATCAAAGTTACTCTCTGGGATATGGACATATATATGCACATACAAAATATATTTCTGATTCGAACTAAGAAGAAATCGTTTACATGGCAAAATCCAGGACATTAAATATTCTTCCACATCGAAATCTCAACTTTTGCTAGCATAACGTGATTCCAGCAAATAATGATAATTAACAATCGCGAACATGTTACCTCTACAGCTCTACATGAAATATTGCACAATACTTCTAGCCCTGATGCTCACTTTCAGCTGCAACACCAGATACTTTTAATTTATAATGTCTTTCAAACGGAAGGAACTCTTATATGAAGTTGGTATTCTAACAAAATGCGTGCTAAATTGCCTAGGATTGAGCCCTGGCATTTCCTTCTTTCCAACCTCTTTGGCGAGCCCTTGACATCCACAAGGCCGTTAGCTGTTTTTGTGCTAATAAAGCAGCTTCCGATTTTTCTCTTGCCTCCTCACACGTTTCCATTCCAGAATTACACTTGTCAGCCTCTTTCTGGTATTGGGAAGTCATCTTTTTAGCCTCGAGCAATGCCATGTCAGCATGCTGCTGATGTTCCAAAGCCTCAGCTTCTCGAAGCTTTAGTTCCTCAGACAATAGCTCTGCAAAGTTCTTCTGGGTATCATCATTCACATCTGGATCGTGCTTGGCGCAATCTTTTGAGTGAGACATGAAAAAGAAAGAAAAGAGAAGGTACAGGATTTGAGAACTGAATTCAGAGGTGTATAATTTTTTCCATGAAGCTAAAACTAACTAATCCTCTCTTGCCGATACAAAATATTACCATTACATCAGATTGTAAGAATATGGCACTAATAAGCTTGAAAAATAGTC